GGGCTGCCCTCAAGACAAGTGCTGAACTCTGATTTTCCCTAGCGATCCAGTGGGCAGTCATGGCCATGAATGGGCTAGTGCTGCCAAAGTCCGGTTCAGTCCAGTTCTTGAGGCAAATTTCCCGAACGCCGAACTGAACCATACATTCAGTTCAGCCATTTGGTCGAACCTTGGACCGAACGTCACCGAACACGTTCGGGAGGTCCGGTTCACGTTCGAACCAGGTTTAACTTAGTTTTTTCACAACAGATCCCAGATCAACAACTTGTAAATATGTACCAGACGACATCAATACAAGGTAGTAGAACTACAGACCAATATGGACGAAAACCGTCCTCTGCTCCAGCGGATTCGGAGTGACCCTCAATAATGCACTCAATGGCGCTTCTCCCCATCTCGTTGACGTGCTTGACTCGGCCTCTTCCTGTGGCATGACCTTAATCGATAAAGGACGTCACATTGTACAGACAGACTGGACAGAGAGATGCTCGCAGCAATCAAGGGAAGGGAGAGATGCGGGTGGAAGGTGATAAAGAGACCTGCTATTTGGGTCAGTTTTGCATGCTGTAGTTGGGCGCCTTGGGAGGTGTGGTACCAGAGCTGAAAGTGTCAGCATGTAAGGGCAGATGTAGAGATCCTCCAGGCATGGCTCCTTAGAGCGATGGTTGAGAGTGTGTGGTTGATGATACAGGAGGCGAACTGACGAGCGAAACTCCTGAACGGTCCATCCTCGAGTGTTCCAAATGCTCTTTGCGGGCGCGCCTGAGTTCGACAAAGGAGGAACATCTGATAGGTAGATGACGGCGAGCGCTGAGTAGTGATACCAGATAAACATGGAATTGACTGACTGACATATTGCTCTGCAAAAATTGTAAGTCATCTTCAATTTGGTGCTTAAGTTGTTTGGACTTACGTCGTATCTGTGGGTTGGATGCATTGTCCAGAGCGCGATAGGGACAAGCTCCTTGTCTGAACTGGGCATGTGTATGATGCGGATCGAGCTTTGGGTGGACAGGACAACAAGGAAGAGGAGGTCGACGAGTAAGGGTGAGAAGTTTCATGATAGAATACTGCTCTAGAATTGGCTTTGGTGGGCGGGGATGACGAAAGCATGAGGAGATCAAGAGCGGCGGCAGTGTGAGTAAAGGTTTGGGGGTGGGGATGGGGTGGGGCAGGTAATCTGGCGTGTGAAGAGGACGTGCAAAAATTGAGAGGTTCGAACGGGTTCGAACCTATTCACTACCAGCCCAAACCCTGAACCTCTAGAAAGGTTCGGTTCTGAGTCTTGGCCGAACCTTGGACCGGACCATGCGTCCGGTTCGGAAAGGTTCAGGTTCGAACTGAGGTTCGGAACCGGACTGCGGCAGCACTAGAACGGGCAAAGGTTAGAATCTGACCAGAGGTCAGATGTGAACGAAACCTTTCCCTGGGTAGCCTGAAGATATGAGATATTTTGTAGAGCTCTTGACAATGGTAGACCTACCGCAAGGTCCCTCTTCAGGGCATTGAAGTACTCATGGAAAGCATCAATGACCAACTCACGAGCTTTGGTGTGATGGAATATATCAGTCTCATTTAGCGATGGCCGCAGAAGACGAATTAGGCGGCAAAATTCCAGGCATTCAATGATATTGATTGCCTGAAGAAAATCACTAACCATAGTGCATAGAAAGTGCACATTGACTCACCTGATCATCAGCAATGATGAATTTGACAATGTGTTTATGCATCTCATCGAGAGTAAACACAGGCAATATATCGTCTGGAGTCGACAGGCTGGTTTCAGGGAGTGAGGCAGCACATATTACAGTGACCTATCTCCGTATAATACGAGGGAACAGACGTGCATAATATCCCGTATGATACGGGCCAGCGGACCATGGGCCCATGATAAAAATATCCTCGACTATGACGGATGGGCCGGGAGGCAAATTATTCCCAATGGAGGCGGGTGGGCCCATGCAGGGAATATATAGAGTAGATGAGTGGGCCGATGTAAATGAATATTAGGTAGACGGGTGGGCCGAGGTAGTTGGATATTATGCAGATGGGTGTATTAAGGTAGATGTGTATGAGATAGATGGGTAGGTACTTGTTATCACATTCACGGGTGGGCCCAGACACATATTAAATTAGACGGGTGGGCCGAGGGTATTATAAAATATTGTATTATACGGGTGGGCCCAGACGCATATTAATTAGACCGGTGGGCCGAGGGTGGTATACAATATAGATGGGTGGGCCCATGTGTATCATAATTGTAGACATGATGGAGCTGAGGTAGTTGTACATCAACCAAATCAGAGGAGGTAATAAATCAAAGTTACCAAGTTCCCGGAGCATCAGGTGATCTCCTGACATGGCAGTGCGAAGCTTGTGTTGCCCTACGAGACGCCAAGTTCCGGCCACCAGAATTTGAGTCAACTGTACCGAGTTCCGAGTTCCGGGACCCGGAACTCACCACATAAGTTAGTTAATACTTTTTGATGGTGCACAGGTTGTCTTGCAGAATGTGGAATCCGGGGTGCGAAGCTTGTGTTGCCCTACGAGAAGCCAAGTTCCGACCACCAGAATTGGAGTCAACTGTACCGAGTTCCGGGACCCGGAACTCAACACATAATTTAGTTAATACTTTCCATGTTAAATGGCCAACCGAAGTTGAGATGTTTCTGAAGAGAGCAGCAGGTGCTCTCTTGACATGGCCTCTGATGGTGCTTAGGTTGTCTTGCAGAATGTGGAATCCGGGGTGCGAAGCTTGTGTTGCCCTACGAGAAGCCAAGTTCCGACCACCAAAATGTGAGTCAACCGTACTCAGAGGAGGTTATAAATCAAAGTTACCGAGTTCCCGGAGCAGCAGGTGATCTCCTGATATGGCAGTGCGAAGCTTGTGTTGCCCTACGAGACGCCAAATTCCGACCACCCAAATATGGGTCAACCGTACCGACTTCCGAGTTCCGGGACCCAGGAGTCGACAAATGAATATCTGATGACCAGCACACTTCCAATCAGGTAGTATTTCATTGAGCAATGGATAATAATACATCTTTGACAGCCAAAATTATCCATGGCTCCCTTATCTGATCCTCTCTATCTCCACCCCCTATAACACCAAAGTCCAGACATCCAGCATTCAGCGTCTGATTTCCCAAGATTAACATCCAGCATGAACGGTTCTTCCCCTTCCCCTCCTGATAGCATAAACATCTGGCGCACTTGGGCCCTGACTGTGACTTATGAAGCAGGGGAATATACTGAACAGAAATTCAAGGCAGAGAAGACTGGAGGAGGCCCAGTCATACCTTCCCCCAACCTAGACACTGATCTGGTGATGGCATGCGATCGCTTGGCTGATGTACTCATAAAGGCATCTAAAAATCCCAGTGGGTCTTCCTGCAGATTCGAAAAATTCTATTTATCATTCAAATTCCTGCATGACAGTTCAGATGCAGATAGATATTGCAAGATATAGCAAATTGATCTCCCCGAAGGACACCGGGCATAATGAACATAGAGAGGCGAGGTTGATTGAGAGGTGTCCTCCTGGCCATGAAGGCAAAAGGTTGGTCGATGAACCTGCAATAATTCTTGATGCATCCGGTGCCATCATTGCATGGTATCTCCCAGACGCCCTGACAGATACCACCCAGGTGTGTAATATACATTGTTACTCAATGGATATCGAATATTAATGGAACCTACAGAAGGAAATCAGGGAGGCCACCGATTTGCTCGCTCCAAGCCTCGAAAAAAGTGTAAGGGCTGATGGCAATTGGTGAACTAATCAAAGGTTGTTCAACCGGGGCTCCGAAGATGTTGGAGCAACTCCCGGATGCATCAATCTATCTCCGGCATGGTTTCAACAGGGACATGAGGTAGGATCTGATGAGATGGTGATTCCGGCAGTCATACTCACCAATCCCAAAGAATGTGTCCGATCCGGAGGTATCTGCATCATTGAAGGGACCTTCCTGCGAGAATATCCTCAAAGCCATTGCAAGGCCAGCAGCCATCGCGTCCGTGGCACTCAGAGTCATGCATCCTGAGCAGTACTGGGCAGGGTTGAGAACCTTGTCAAACCTTGGAAATATAGCAGTAAGCAAGCATCTGCCACAGATGCCGGAGGCCCTGCAGTACTGGGCATCCGTGTTTAACACCCTCTCCATCATTTCCAATCGGGAAACCCCCCATCATCAAGACCACATGTCCATTGCTGAATGCTTCGACATTCTCGCCACCGTGGGGAACTATTCCAATGCTCGGATGACAATGCCAAACCTTCAGCTGGAGTTCAAGTACAATTCCGGCTGTATGATTGCGTTTTCCGGAAAGATTGTGAGACATGGAGTTTATGATGTGGAAGGGGATAGGATTGCTTGGGCATGGTATATGAGGGATGCTGTTCATATTTATGCTGGTGTTCCATCATGTGGATGGGCTAGTGTGGATGGTCCATACAGCGTGTGAAAGATCAAACAAAGAGCAAGCATTGTGACCTATATACATTCCAACAAATGAATACCACATACCAATTGTGATCCGGACCTCAATACTCAATTTTGAGCATTTCCAAAGTGATATGTGGGCCTGAATAATTTGGATGCAAGCCTCGGTATTCGATAATTGGAACTCAGGACTTGACATATGGGAGTTCCGAGTGCCGGGGTACTTAGTCCCGACACCCGGACCTCAGCACGTGATATTTGAGACTGGGGGAAGATGTATAAATACGCTCGAATTAACATTTGTTATTGCCATACACATTTAACAAAACCCTGAACCACGACATTGTGGACTCCGGACTCAACACTGTTCTGAATACCGAGTTCCGGACGCCCAGGTCCCGAGTCCCGAATTTTGGAGGTCGGGGTTCGGAGACCCGGAGCTCGGCAACTGTGTTGGGTGTCAGGGTATCCAGACTATTGGAGATAGCATGTGTCAGTATTTTGCGTTTCATGGTTTATGTTGGGTGAATATGGAATCGTGGATCAGGGACTCGGTATTCAGAACAGTGTCAAGTCCCAGGTCACGAGCTCCGAGTCCCGAGTGCCGAACCCCGGGTCCCGAGTCACAAATTTCGGAGGTCGGGGTTCGGCGACCCGGAGCTCGGCAACTGTGTTGGGTGTCAGGGTACTCGGAGCATTGGAGATAGCATTTGTCAGTATTTTAAGTTTCATGGTTTATGTTTCGTGATTATGGAATCAGGTGTCAGGGACTCGGTATTGAGAACAGTGTTGAGTCCCAGGTCATGAGCTCCGAGTCCCGAGTCCCGAAACCCACACCCAGCAGTTGCCGAGCTCCGGGTCGCCGAACCCCGACCTCCGAAATTTGTGACTCGGGACCCGGGGTTCGGCACTCGGGACTCGGAGCTCGTGACCTGGGACACAACACTGTTCTCAATACCGAGTCCCTGACACCTGATTCCATAATCACGAAACATAAACCATGAAACTTAAAATACTGACAAATGCTATCTCCAATGCTCCGAGTACCCTGACACCCAACACAGTTGCCGAGCTCCGGGTCGCCGAACCCCGACCTCCGAAATTCGGGACTCGGGACCCGGGGTTCGGCACTCGGGACTCGGAGCTCGTGACCTGGGACTTGACACTGTTCTGAATACCGAGTCCCTGATCCACGATTCCATATTCACCCAACATAAACCATGAAACGCAAAATACTGACACATGCTATCTCCAATAGTCTGGATACCCTGACACCCAACACAGTTGCCGAGCTCCGGGTCTCCGAACCCCGACCTCCAAAATTCGGGACTCGGGACCTGGGCGTCCGGAACTCGGATGTGAGATTTTTGAATGCATAGAATATGTTACATCTTGTATACAATGAAGACTGAATGGGACTACACTCCTTTGCCTTTCCTCAATTTCTCTAACATGTCAGTGTACATCTTCACCTCTGCCATCTTGTCTTTGATGCCCTGATCTTGCTCCTCCAGCAATGCTTCCATGCGTTCTTTGATGAACCTCAGTCCCATGAGTGGTGGAGTCGAAGTGTTTTTCAACTTCTCTGGAAGTACCAAAGCATCATCCTCAACATTAAGCTGAAACAGATAAGTCATCAATCAAGGCAATTCAGCTAACATCTTACCGCCCAATACTGGTAGTGAGAGACGCAGGAAGCCATTATTTCATCCCACTGCCATGGTTGATCAGGGATCCAGTTGTTTCCCCTCCACCATGGACATGTATATGCGAACACAATCCGGGACGGATGTCCTGCAATTGGCTCATCATGAAATGAAAGGAGGTGGAATGAAAAGACGTCGTCCGGAACTGTGTTCCAGGTGAGCATGGGATACAACTTAAGGATATAAGCGACAGGGACCGGAAGAACCGACACGATATTCTGTGAAGCGGAGTACTGCAGGAGTGGTGTGACAAATGTCTGCTCAAATTCTTAGCATTGACCAACAAAGTCATCAGGGCAGTGGTAACATACACTCATCTCCCATTGCAGCCCGGCTTTAAAATACTTGATCCGGTCAGCAGATAGACCATTGTTGGCAGCTTCCGTCCGATATTGAGAGATGCATGCACGGACGCGCGATCCAGCCATTGCCAATGTGCAGGAAATTGTTGCAAGGCTCAGCTTCAGAGGTCGGTAATGGCTTCTGGCATTCAGAGTGCCAGAAGTGGATGCATGAGATGCAGACATGGCTAATACAGGACTATGGCGCTGGCAATACAAGTGAAAGATGGTCAAGATGTGAAGATAAGAATCACTGATGGATGGATATGAAATTCAAACTCCGACATGGGCTGACCCGGACAATTCCCGGGCCTCAACTATGTATGTGGAAAAAGGGATTTCATGAGAAAACAATG